GAGGGTGGCTATGGGTGCAGATCACTAGGGTAGTCTGTGGGAGACGTGAAGAAGGAGGACAAGGGAGATACTGTTGGTGCTGCAGGCACTGAGGGTGTGAGGAGCTCCAAGGCTTGGGGAAGGGTCAAAGAGGCACACTCCAACTCAAGTTTAGATTGAGCTTCCGGTTCGAGTTGTTGGAAATCTCTGTATATAGCGATCTCCACTTACCTCTTTTCATTGGTGTCTCTCTCTCTCTCCCTCTCTCTCTCTCTCTCTCTCTCTCTCCTTCTCTCTCTCTGTCTCTCTCTCATGCACACACACACACACACACACACACACACAAATTCACTTCATACACAAAAGAGTATTCATACCAAAAGGTGTCCATGAACAACTGATAGATCTTATGCCTAGAAGGTAAACAACTTAATGGCAAATCATCAGAGTTAGGAACTGCAATTCCCAAGCTGCTGTGTCCTTTCTCTTTATTTGAAGTCTCTGGCTGCTTCTGTCCTCCCCAAGCAATTGGTCTTAGTGAAAGGGTCTGTACTTGGTTTCTGCTTGCCGAGGATCTTGTCTCAGGCTTGTTGGGGTCGGGTCCAGGAAGACCTCTGGATTTGCTTTTAAAATGGTCCTTGGATTAGAGGTATTAGGTGTATTTAATGCATCTCAGTCAATGAAACCACACCTTAACACTGGGATTTGTAGCAGCCGTGGTAGTTTATGCCTATAATTTCAGAAAGTGGGGGCAGGAAAATTGCCACAAGTTTAGAGCCAGTCTGGACTACATAGTGAGTTTAAGGCAGTCTGGAATAAAAAGTAAGACACTGTCTCAAAAGAAAGAAAAAAAAACAAGAAAGGAATTTGTGGCTAGAGATTTAAGTCAGCACATTGTGGACAGTTCTCTGGACTTGTTCTCTAACCTCATGGTCAAAAAATTCATCAAGTATTTTCAACTGAATACTGTAACAAAGTCTGCCCTTATGCAGTGTTCTCTGTTGTGGTGAGGGGCAGACAGTAAACCTATAGACATGTCCTGTAACATCCACGGTGAAAAGAGAGGAGGACAATGGTGAGCTATCTTACAGGGTGTTCATAAATGGTTCTCTGTGGAGGTGATATGTAAGCAGAGACCTACCCCAAATGAGAAAGGGAGCCATGTAAGTATGTGAGCTAAGGGTTTTCCAGGAAAACAGAGCAGCAAGTATCAAGGCTTTGAGGGGAAAACAAGTCTAGCAAAGTCATACAGAGCAGGATGGCTGGAATGCCCTGGTAGAGAGAAGAGATGAGGTGGGAGGTGGGTACCGGAAGCCGTCTCCCTCATCTTTGCATCCTCCCAGCCCGGGGCTGCCTCTACCACCCTGTGACCTACTGGGAAGTTGAATCCAAATTTAGTTAGATATTTGGATGTGACTAATGATAGCTTTAAAAAATTACTGCAGCTTTTCAGACTTCTTATCTAAATTCTAACAGAGGCAGAGGAACTAGAAAACTGGGAGACTCAAGACTCTTGGGACTGGTTTGTCCCAGAGCTCTGTCATTTAGCATCCTCTCTCACTAGCCCCAGCAGGACATGACATTTATTGTTTCCATCAAGAGTACAGGAGCTCATGCCACAGCCCCCAGCTCTGGACTGAATGGAGCGGTCGAGGCAGAGGTACCCTCTCAGCTGGGTAATCTCATCCCACTTAACCCAGAGAGCCTGCTTGTTTTTTAAATGTAGTATTTTACAATTATAAAATCCCATGTCTATCTGCATGTGTGTAAAATACAAGCTAAAATGTGAAAACAGTATAGATGGCTTGTACTTAGAAATAGGGAATTAATTACTCTTTCACATCAAAGTTGAAATCTTCACTTAGTGTAAAATAAAGATAATATCCATTATCCTTAAATGGAAATATGACTTCGTCCTAAATAAGCACTAGATTCTATGAAGACTCTATTGTCATGTTTGCTGGATGAGAGGGAGAGGAAGGAGGAGTGGTCCTTAGTTCTTTTTGTAGCTGTTCTATCGATGAACCTTTGTTATTTAGGAACAAATCTCAATCCTTGAAGCTTCTGATTTAGGCATAATTTTGCCTTCTGAAGCCACTCAGGTCAGTCTGTCTGCCCAGCCCACACTGACACACCATTCAGATCTGAAGGCCTCTGAGGTCACGCGGTGCTAAGGCCCCGCGCTCCCTGCAGGGTGCCCTGAGTTCTCACTGGGCATCTGTTCTGCAGGCGTCTGGGCAGTCAGGTGCTCTTTGGATGTTCTTCTCCTCTGGTCCAGTAAATGAGGTGCCAAAGGTTAGAAATGAATGTCCACGTGCTGCCTTGGTGGCCCAGCATTTAAGCTGTCTTCACCATCCTGCTCCTTAGGGATCCCCTCCACGTGCCTCCCTCTTTGTGGGCTCCTTGCTATTGCATTTGCCATTTAGCTGCCTCTCTGCTCACTGTCCTGAAAACATAAACAGACTCAGTATTCAGTACCTAATTTTTTTTATGCTTCATATTGCCTTTGTTCCCCATCTCTAAGCTTTCTCTATGGGCTTGTGTTTTTTTATAAATCTGCTGCATTCAGTACCGTGGTCAATTATCCTGGGTGATTGCTCCTTATTTAAGAATCCCTGTTCTTTTTCATTAAAGATCAGATCAGGAAAGGTCCTTTCATTGGCCAGGTGCACCAGATCTCTACCCCCAGCTTGCCATTTTGCAGTCTGTGCTTAAGACCTGACTCACTGAGGGGCAGGACTTGAGGAGCTGGTGCTCTGTTCCACACCCTCCCCACCAGTAGAAACCTGGCCCTGTTTCCCTCTCAGCCCCTCCGTGGCACCCTGCTAAGTATGAGAGAGCAAGGATTGGGGAGGGGGGTGCCTCTTTACAAATCCTGACCCAATTGAGCTTTCTCTCCCAGTTCCCAGGTTTCTTGGTAACAATTACTCACTTCATCATTCCAGGGTTATAAAATGAGGCTAATGGTCCTTTCTTATTACATCTAGCTGCACTGGGCTTTTAAAAATCCTCCTTTCAGAGTGTCTCCATTATTGGTTGATTTTATTTGCTGCTGCTATAAGTGTGATTTCTTCTTGCTTATTAGACATACACCCTAAAATAGGTTAAGAGTTTCTGTTGCTGCATATTGAAGCATACAGATGAGTGAAAAGTGAGCATTTGAAGAGAAAGTGTGCTCTTCAGATAATAACTTAAAATTCCAGTCAGCAGCCCTTTGGAGATGTAAATTGAGGCAACTTAATGATCTGTAGTTAATAGGGGCTGATGGGCAGATGTGGAACAGCTGGGTTTAGCTTAGCTTTGCTCAGCTCTCCAAATGGCACGTTGCTTACCCCCACAGAGACACAGAATCCTGCTCAGAGTCCAAAGCCACCAACATAAAAATGGTGGTGGCTGTCAGTGGCCTTGTCTCCATGTGCAGTCCAGTCGCTGGCTCCCAGCCAGTAGCTGCTTTGTCCTTGCTGAGCCTGCCCCAAACTGGGTGTCAGCACAGAGCAGAGGACCACTCCAGGAAGTCTGGGATGAAGAGTGCTGGGGCCAACTTCTCCCCCTCCACTTGGGCGAGAAGTGGAATGTTGTCTCTTGGTAGAAAATGTAAATCAAATCTGAGAGCTGCACACTATACTTGCTGTGATGGGCTTATCCCTGGTATATAAAATTGACTCCATTACCAGTTGCTCTGGGTTACCAAATCCAGTTACAATTTCCAGCAGTGTTTCTCTTCCTTCGAAAAGCCTAAATGAAGCCAAGTGCAGTGATACATGCCTATAGCCCCAGCTGGGGGACGGAAGGGAGGAGAAGGGAGGTGCAGAGAAAAAGATCACAAATTCAAGGCCAACCTGGGAAACTCACTGAAAAATCCATCTCTAAAAAAGGGCTGGGAGGTAGCTCAGTGGTAAAGCAACCCTGAATTTGATCTCTAGCGCAACACACACAGCTTGAATGAGTTCAACAATGACAAAACAACAAATAGCCAGATTCAAAAATTTCAAAGGACCTGGATAGACATTTCTTCAACAAAAATGTAAACATGATCAACAGACACATGAAAAGATGTATTACATCTCTCATCATAACAGTCAGAAAGGCTGTTATCAAAAGAGAAATTTACAAGCTAGGCCTGGTGACACACGCCTGTGGTCCTAGCTGCTTCAGAGGCTGAAGCAGGAGAATGCCCTGAACCCAAGAGATTGATAGCCTAGGCAAAACTAAAACAAGAAAAAGAGAAAAAGAAAAAAGGTAGGGGAAAGAGGAAAAGAAGGAGGGAGAGAGAAAATTATAAATGGTGAGGATATGGAGAAACTTGAACTTTTTGCACTGGTGGTGGGAGTTTAAAATGGCACAGAGGTTGTGGAAAGGAATGTAGTTGTTCCTCAAAAAGTTCTAGGTGTCTGCCCAGGAGTTGAAAGCATAGTCTCTATGAAGTGTTTGTACAGCAGTGTTTCTGGCAACACTGTTCCTGGTAGTCAAAAGGCAGAAGCAGCCCAAGTGTCCACAGATGGTGGGTGGGTGTTAACCTGCCTTTAAAAGGAAGGAAATTCTGTATGCTGCTACCTGGGTGACCCTATCAACATTGTGCTAAGTGTAATCAACTGGGCCAGAGAAAGAAAATGCTCTGGGACTGTGCCCGTGTGAGGTATATAGAACAGTAAAGTAGTTCACTGAGACAGGAAGGGGATGGTGGTTGTGAGGAGCTGGAGAATGGGGAGTTGTTTAATAAGAAGAGTTAGTTTTATAAAGAGTTCTGGAGATAGATGGTGGTGACAACTGTACAGCAGGCAAAAATGCTTAGGGCCACAGAAATGATTGTGCTTAAAAATGTTTAAGATGGTATTTAAATTATGTGTAGTTAAGTTATATGTCTTTCAGCACCATTATTTTTTAAAGCATCAGTAAAATACGCCATTTTTTCTTAGCAGCTCAGGCTTTGGAGATGCAGACTAGAAATGGAAAAAAAACAGCAGTGGGAAAATGGATCTTATCTTTGTGTGACACTAACCACAAATATGCTTTTTTTACAGAGTCATTTTTCTCTCAAAAAGGGAGCTGCAGCCTTGGGGATTGGAACAGACAGCGTGATTCTGATTAAGTGTGATGAGAGGTGAGCATGAATATTGAGCCTTGGTGTTAGCAATTTGCAGATTGACACAAAGACCTCCTGGTCTGCGGCTGGGTGCCTATGGGGGCAGCTACCGGGCCTCCATGGCAGCTGGGCAGTTTGCTGGTTCTTTCCAGCTGGGCTCTTGCTTATAGTCCCCAGATGTTTCGCAATGCCATGGTGCCTTTCGCAGCCCATGACTCAATTGGAACCCTTGTTAAATGAGTCAAAATAGTCTTCACCAAGATGGTGCCCAAGGACAGGTATCACTTGGGCGCTTTAGCTGGAGCCTGGTTTATGAGGAATCATCACTTTCGGCCCCTCGATGGTCACTTGATGGATAACAGAATGGGGCCAGCTTAGTGAGCAGGAAGTAACTAATACCCTAGCCATTCAGCAACTCTGCAGGAACCAAAGCACTCTGTGGAGAAAACCCTCCTCCCAGTTGGCAGCTGAATGCCCTAGGTATGTGGAGATTAGAGTGTCGTGCAAGGTGGTGGAGGTTTACACTGTGTTCAGGCATGTGGAGCATTACTGGCCTATAGACTGAAAGTAAAAAATTAGACTGTCTTTAAAGGGGTAAAGAAGAACTTTTACTGGATTAAAAAGAAGCCACTCAATTAACCATTAGGTATTCCTCTTTGTTCATTAGACAGCAGGGTACCAATGTCACTAGATTCTAGCGAAGCATGGGACATCATTCCAGTTCCCTGGCAGCATCTGAGCTAGATGGGACCATGTTAGTAGCATCAGAAGGAGATAAATGTATGGCTCAATTCTGTGGTGCAAAGACCACCATCTATATACCGGTAAGGCAGGGGAACATGCGACAGGTAGAACCAAAACTAGGTTTTCAAACTGGGGAGGAGTCGGGTGAGTGGAAGGAAAGGCAGGAGCAGTAGAAATGTGTTGAGGACCACAGGCGAAGCCACAGAAGGAGGTGGGATGCGTGCCTTGTGGGGCTGGAGCAGAGGGCCTAACCAGAGCTGGAGGAAGTAGAAAGGCGTGGCAAGCACAGTGGCCTGGTGGGCCCAACTCAACAGATTCAGAAGCACGTTAGCCTCTTGGCGGTGAAGTTAGAGAGGACCGTTGCTTTTTAGTTTACACCTTTATATATTGCCTGATTTTGTATGTTAGCAATGAGTACATATGTTTACAATTAGAAAAACAGATACTTTAATCCTTTGGGGTTAGGGTAGCTAAACTTAGCGTTGGATCTTGATAGATCTGAAAGCATCTTTAACCAAGCAGAACATGACTGAAGTTACCCCATAAGAAGCAAGGTGAGGGAAGGGTCTCTGGTCATTAGGCCAGGTGACCGGCTTTAGCAGTAAGGTGGGCATGAAATGATGAACCATTGGAGCAAAACTAAGACATCAGGCAAAAGGAACCGTCTCACTGTGTAAGATTACCAGGGTAATCAGTACAACGTCCTTAACTGAGATTGAGGAGAAACTGGCCAAAAAAATTGCTAACTTTATTTTTATCCTCTTTATTTTATTGATGGAAAAAAGCCTTTAATCAATTGTTAAAAAGAAAGCAAGGGAAAAGATAAAAACAAAGAGTTTAGATGACTTTGCATCTGTTAATCTATAGCCGTAGGAAGTGAGAAGCCTAGAACTCAGGAAAGAGCCACTAACATAGAGCCCGGCCCTCGGGCCTCATTGGTCTTCTCTCTACCCTGAACAGTAGGTGCTTGCATTCCAGTGGGCCAGTAGGTGAGCAGGAAAAATGGGGCTTTTTCCTTTTATATTCATGAGACTTGTGGAAAAATGTAGGAAGCAAGGAAGCAGAAAAGAAAGAGGAAAGATAAGAAATAAAAGAGCTAAAACTAGGTGACAAAACTGAGAGAATCGTGAAACAAAGCAAAGGAGGGGAAATACACAGGGAATATGGACAAAAGCAGGAAACCAAATGAGGGCTTTCACAGGAGTAACTGACAGTTTTTGTCATCCAAAAGCAGCAACACTTGCCTCCTTGGAAACAATAAAAAATAATAGTTTCACCACTAAACTTTGGAATCTGTTTTTCTAAGCATATAGGTTTGGGCTGGGGATTTAGCTCAGTGGTGTAAGTGCCTGCCTGGCAAGTGTGAGGTTGTGAGTTCAATCCCCAGTACTGCAAAAAAAAAAAAAAAAAAAGTAAACATGCAGGTATGTTCTTTATTTTTTATCTTTTTGTTTTCTCTTTATACATTCATGATTTTATTTCTTTTCCTTACTAGACATGACAACGTATTGTCCTCCATTCTTACAAAAATAAACACACTGAACTGTACTGTCAGAAAGCATCATAGTACTTTATAGAGCTAGCTCTGGAGCTGGACGGTTGACCTCAGCTCCAGCACCAGTTTTAACAAATGCCTCTTTGTGCCTCATTTTCTGTATCTGAAAAAAGAAAAAAAATAATAACGGCACCTCCTTCACAGGATTGTTAAAATGACAAATGTAAAACACTGAAAATGAGGGTCCAGTAACCTTTTAAAAGCCTCTACCAGTTTATTCTCCAAATACTATTGTATCAGAATATGTTGAATATGTTAGTATCTTTATGTAATCTTCCATTCTACATTGATAGTTCATATAATCAGTATGAATTTAAGACACAGTCCTGGTCCTGATAGTTTAGGTCAAATGGAAGTGTCTGGTCAGGAGACAAGGCCAACATCCCAAGGCCAACCCTGTGGCAGTGGCCTTGATTAGGAGCTCAGCGGCAGGCAATGTCACATGCGCTACGAAACTTAGTGTAGCATGAAACAAGTCATCGTGTGTGAAGAAGAAAAGCACGATGATTGGAAAGGCCAGTTTGCTATTGATACTCATTAATTCCTCATCCAGAGGAAGAAACGTGGGAGTTAACCAGATGAAGAGAAAAGGAGGTTTAGGCAGAGGCTGTGGATATAACAAAGAGTGTGGCTTGTTCAGGAAACAGGCTGAGCTGAGATTTTCTGCTGAAGACATGAAACTCTGCTGAAGGGTGTTGAGCAGGGAAGCAGCAGCATAATTTTATATTAGAAAGATCATTTTAAATACAGAGTGATATGTGAATTAGAAACCAGATGTTGGTGGCCACAATAATAATATGGAGAATAGGGCTGGTGTAAGCACCTGCCTGGCAAGTGTGAGATTGTGAGTTTGATCCCCAGTACAAAAATAATAATAATAATAATATGGAGAAAAGATGAAGAATGGTGAGCAAATTTGTGGGAGAGCAGTGGAAATGGAGTGCTGGCTCCATAGGAAGCTGAGAGAAGAGTCATGATGAAGGCCAGCCTCTGGCTTGCCGCCACACTGACACAGTGCTGTTCTCTGCTACGAACCCACCCAGCCTTATGAAGTTGAAGAATTCCAGTATTGAGATGAAGAGCTTGAGATACGCAAGTGAGGGTGGAGAGCGAATGCTGGGAACTGTGAGCCTGGGTTTGAGAAGACGAATGGAAGCCATGCAGAAGTGAGCCCAAGACAGAACACTGAGGAGGAGCCATGTTTGGGGGACAGGACAGGGAGAAGGGGAGGGGTCTGCAAAGGAAGCTGAAAAGCATCAGCCTGAGTTGTTGGAGGAGAAGCAGGAAGTGGGGCCCCAGGGGCTACCATAGGGTTTCTAGAGGGAGGACTGTTAGCAGTGTCAAATGTCAATAAAGGAAATGAAGGCCACCAATCACCCCTTGGCTTCTCTTATAAGAGGGCTGGTGAGGCTAGCAAGGGAAGTTTCAGTGGAAAGGGAGGGCAGAAGCAGTTAGCAGTGGGTTGTTGGGTGAGTCATAGATGCATAAAGGAACAGAAAATACAGGCTCATTTCTGGAAGGTTGAACAGGGAAGGGCAGGAGGTAGAGCAGAAGCCAGAGAGAAATGCTAAATCCAGGGTGGTTTGGGTTTTGTTGATTTTTGCTTTCTTTCTTTCTTTCTTTCTTTCTTTCTTTCTTTCTTTCTTTCTTCCTTTCTTTCTTTGTTATTGACAGGGAGGATGCTGGAGAGGTATGTGAATCCAAGATTTCTTTTTGTGCTTTGGTCATTTTCATTTAATATTTATGTAAATGTTTATTGAACATTTACTCTGTATAAAGATATAGACCATGGCAAACACAAACATTAATGAAGCTCTATTCTTTCTCTCAAAGACACTGTAATCTGGAAATAATATGTAATAATAAATTACTTTTGGTAAATTAGTAAATAAGGTAGCTCAGGAATAGATACAAATAACAATGTAACTTATTTTTTAAGTGTTTTCTTTTAATTGCATACGATTTCAGGGTATGATATTGACCTGGCCTGTGGGTCAATCCGTGGGGTAACCACCTGGGGGAGGAACGGGGATTAACATAGACAGGGCAAGAGACAGAGACAGAGACAAGTTGAGGAAGTCCAATCAAGTTTCGTTTATTGAGGAAGTGATCATAGCTTTTATGGGGCAAGGGTGGGCCATTGGGACAGGAAGAGGCTACGAGGTGATCTCTGATGGGTCATCGTCACATCCGTGTACGTGACATGAGCAGGAGAGGATCATGGTTGATGTAGGCACACTATATGCCCATATAAGGGAGAGGCGGGGAGACAGCAGCGGGGCGGTGGCGTGGCTCCCTACATGATATCACAATTAGACACACATATACAATGTGGAACATTTTTGTTGTTTTGGGGATGAGGGCTAAGAGAGCGGATGGCTGTTTCATTGTGAGGTGAGGGGTGTGTGCAGTAGCTTTCCATGACTATAATGAAATATAGAGTGGGAGCAGCTGGTAGGACCCAGTGGGTCATCTCACAGAGGACAGGAGGTAGACAGAGAGCAAGAAGAAAGGGTCAACGTGCAAAATATTCCCTTCAAAGCTGCACCTTCAGTGTCCAGCTCTCCCCAATTCCTAAAGTGCCTGCTATCTCCCAATGTCTCATCAAATTCTATACCCAGTCCTTTGGATGAGGCAGGAGTCCTGGTGATCTGGTCACCTCTCTAGCTCCCCTCTGCACCCCAGTACCTTGATGCATTGGGGACATACATGTGAGCAA